TATATATATATATATATATATATATATATATATAGTTAAATCTATATATACTTCTCCAATTTTGCTGTCTAGATTGTTGGATTTCAGAATTCATAAATCTGCATTCCATTGGCTGTTTAACCCAGTACTACCCATATTGCTTGCTCCTCCTCTGATAGCTGAACATTTGCCCACAATATAATAAGGGAAATCAGTGAGAACACTGAAGTATGATAACTCTGAATATGGCACTAGGAAACAATACTGGAGCAGATGGCATTGAGAGTACTCTTCCTACCTCAATTCATGTTGCAGAAAATTTTGCATTGCAGAAAAGTTCAAGTTCTTTCTGTAATGCATTTTTTTAAAAAAAATATCACTAGTAACTCAGATGAAATTATGGCTTTCTTAGGTAACAAGAGTTTTCTTTAAACATTCTTCAGTGTGCAGAGAATAACATTCAATGTAGTTATGATTGAAGATGGTTTCATATTTACCATAAAGATACCATTAAGGAATATCTATCTATAAATGGGAAGGTTTCTGGAATTGTAAAGTTAGGAGACATTTTGATGAGAACTTGCTTAGTACCTTTATTTAAATATATCTAATCACAGAGAATTAAATATTTACATTTTCATTTTTGTAGGCATTTTCAGTTCTAAAAATTCATCATTTTTTTTCCTGCAAATGACTTCTATATTCAGTCACTTATAAACTCCAAGCTTGGTTAAATGCAAAATTACTACTATATCTGATATTATCTCCTCTCAACAAAAGTGTTCTATGTTCAAATCAAACCAAACCATTTTCATTCCACTAGTTTTTTGCTGAACCACTAACAGGAATGATTTGAGAGAATAACAGAATTCCTCCTCAGCATCCAAAACTATGAGTATGATTTTCACTTTTATTCTTGGTTCTATTTCTATTCCTTTGCTGTTCTCAATTTAAAAAAATAGAAAAATGTCTGGCACTTAAATCTAACTTTACTGAAATTTAACATGAATTTAGAGCTTAAGTGCTTTTTGGCAGAATTATTCATGAATTTCTGCCTTAAGTCCCTTTGGAATGAATGAAAATTGAGTATCACTCTACTTTTATGCTACGTCCTTTCATTTACAATTTATCTCACACAGAGGGCTTTGCTTTAGAAGTAGCTATTGTTAAGTCTGGAAGGGACTATTACAAGCTTTGTAACAAAGGAGTGTATGGTGGAAAATATGAGGCATTGGGATGGAAGAGATTGGGGAAGGGAAAGAACCAAACAACAGAGGGTGGTGACAAGAGATCAAGTAAGAAAGAGGGGTTGACACAGAGAGGCAGTGGAAGCAGATAGGGAGGGAGGGAGGGACTACAAAACTCAAGTTTGGGTCCTTCTTAAAGCAAGAATGGACTATGCCAGGGAGTCCAACTCATGAAATGCTGTGGAGGTATTCAAGTAGTTTCCTAGCTGCAGACAAGCTGCTTCCAGGCAACTAGACCCTAAAGGCTCCAACAGCTAGAGATCAGCAGCAGCAACAGCAGCTCCCAGATATCCTGGGGGGAGAGAGGGGGAGACAAAGTTTTATCTACCAAGACTGTGTGAACATATACTTCAAGTTCCATGTTTGACACCTGAGGTAATCTTCACCAGATATTCTCAGTCAACCCTCACGTCGTACACATCAAGTTTCATGAACTTGTAATTTTTTATTTTATGATCAACAAAATATCCACAAAATGAAACATGAAAATGCATAAACTCCGTAATAATATGAACATTATATGAATGGTCATAATAAATGCTGTTACCTAGTTTCAATTTAAACTGAAATTTAAAAATTTAATTTGCAAACAAATTTCAAGTCGTTAGTCACAAATACACTTTAATGCACTGCTTTACATTCCAGATTCACAGTAATTAGTAGCACAAAAGACTGTTTTAAATGTATACTTTTCCTTGATGTCAAGTGAAATTCTAAAAGGACAAGGAAACAATAACTTGAACAAAATAATTGTGTGATGAATTAAAAGGTGGGTGTGGAATGTTTACCCTGTATAGCATTTTTACAGCATGCAAATTATGCTTGATAGATCAGGATATATGCATTTCTGCTTCTTTCTTCCAAACGAAAAGGTACATGACCATGTGGTACAAAGCATCTTCTTAAAATGCAATATAAATTTACTAGCACATTTGCTTGTGCTTAATTTTAATGGGAGAGATGTATCATAATTTGTCAGCTGCATCTGAAAAATGTTACAAACAATGGTGTCACAGTAAAAGCAAAATAGGAGGCTTAATATTTTGACTGAAATGTTTCCTTATCCAGCATGAATTCTGCAAATCTCTGCTGAAGTTCTTTTTCTCTTTCCTGTTGCCGTTGAACATCTTCTTTTAGGCACTGTAAGAGCAAATGTAATAAAGTTAGCATGAAATAACCAGGAAGGAATAGGATGCTATCCTCAGTATGAAAGGAAAGGATTATAGTAAAACTTTCCTAATAAGCCACACAGAAAAGTTTTTACTTTCAATAGAAAGTGAGAGAAATTTGTAGTTCAGCATTTCTATGTAAAGAGAGCTAATTTCTAAGATGTTATAAAATGTTCAAAAAAATAGGAAGAATAAAATGACACGCACAGGCAAATCTAAAAGGAAATCTAAATATAATGATTATGATATGCAAATTTTTTTAAAAAAGGTTTTACGAGTACTGCATTACTTAGTTTATTTCTTTTGCCGCTGTCATTCTTTTTAGATATGGCCTGTAGATTAACACTCCACCATTTTACCTCCAGTCGCCTTGGGATAGCTGCATCTTCATGCTTCTTTAATTCTTCAAATGTGCACAGTTCAAGATGAGCTTGTTCAATTTGATCCCACAAGTCATTTAATTGCTTTATGAGTCCCATGGCTCGAGACTGATAACCACCAAGCAATATCTTCAGCTTTTTTTCCATCTTGGCAGCTCTCTTAGCTTCAGTAGTCATGTGACCTCGATTAATCTGTTGACAAATGCAATCAAGAATGTGGCATGATTATCTAATCGTTACATTTCATACACACACACACACACACACACACACACACACACCCCTGAGCTGTAAAAGAAGGGATGTTATATCTTACATTTATCTTCTTCCCTGAGATACTACGCACAGATTTTATATAGGAGAATTTTAAGTGGTTACATATGTAACGTATCTTTGGAAATCAACCCTTCCACACTGTTCAACAGTGGAAATGTGGGATTCTGGAAGTATGAAATAAGAGAACAGAACAGACAGGGAAGTCCAAGTTTAAAAAAGAAAATACAAAAGACACTGGATGGTAGCAAAGCTAAAGATAGCAAAGCTAAAGATATTAGTAACATTAAAGATAAGTCATAAAGATAATAAATTTATCCATGTGGAATTAATGTATTTGTCTTTTTTCACGCACATTCTTGAGAAAATTCTGGGGCAAACACAACACTACAGTATAGTTGAAAAATCTGATAGGATCCAGTGTTTTATATATAGCCTATACCTACGTTCTATCTGGATGAATTTTGAACAGTCTTTTCATGAAGCTAAATAAAGGTTCTAAAAAACCATTTATGACCTAAAGGATTGATTCAAGATGAATCCTGGAATTTTAAAATCATGAACTTTTACAGACTGAAATAAATGTTAGTACTTAAGGATGTTGGCTACAGTCTAAAAGGCAATTCTCCCAAAATAACTGTTGAATCCCACTCATCATCATATCATAGTACAAATGTTGATGGGAAATTAAAAATGATAGGTACCATGTTAAAAAGCCATTTCTTAAACAAATGGAAATCTTTTTGGTCAATTCCTATTGCAACTCTAACAAGCATATTCTAAAAGAGAGCTTGTTTTTCCCCTCTAGAATCCTCCCTAAACAAGCAAGCATCAGAACCCCGATTCATTTGCAAAGCTGAACACTTAGTTGCTTCTATCAGGAAAAGGAATCAAGCAGAAGCACCTGGCATCATTTTTGATAAACCACAATGATAAAGAAGCTATGTGTTTAATTGAGAGAGACTGCTGTTTATTATTGACATTAAAAGCCACCATGCTGCGTTTAAAAAAACCTCCTTAATTTTAACTGTAAACTGCTGTTGGAATGTGGCATATAAATGTAGCAAGTTAATAAAATTAAAAAAATGGAAAACAGGTGAAAATTCATATTGATAGTCACAAATCAATGGATTGTGAAAGTAAAGGCAAATATAATGAAATGAATAGAATAGAGAAGCATAGTATTAGATACATTCATACATAAACCATGGTGACACAGTGGTTAGAGTACAGCACAGCAGGCTACTTCTGCTGCCTGCTAGCTGCCTGCAATTTGGCAGTTCAAACTCCCCAGGCTCAAGGTTAACTCAGCCTTCCATCCTTCCGAGTGGGTAAAATGAGGACCCAGATTATTGGAGGCAATATAGTGACTTTGTAAACCGCTTAGAGAGGGCTGTAAAGCACTGTAAAGCGGTATATGTCTAAATGTTATTGCTCTTGATTGCTATTGATCAGTATCTATATTCAAAATGAGTCTAAATAGAATACAAAGTTAATTATGTTCAGCAACACTACTTCATTTTCTCTCTTACTGAATATTATTTGAAACTTTTAACTGGTAGAGTTGCAGATGCATCTTGACATTGCAAATTAGGGGCCCATGACAGATTTAAAAAAAAACACACCACCATCATTTGCTCAAATTCTGTGCCGAGGTTTTGCACTAAATTACTACTCTTTTTGTTCTGTAAAGCCTGAATTTTATGCTACCCACTTGGGGAAGGTATAGAACATCCCAAAAACAAACATGGTCCCAACTCTTCAAAAACTATGTGAAGATTAATATCAGCACACAACTATTTACTTTTGCCACAAGGTGTGACAGAACTGCCTCTTATCAGGGCCTACTTGACAATAACAATGAAACAGAAATAAAAAGACAGTAAGTGAAAAGAGATGAATGTACTTTAAAAGTAATGCCCATTGAAAAAGAGAATTTGACGTGGATTCTGGCAAAGACAGTGCAGACTGAAATGAAGCAACCAAAAGAAAAACCAACAGGACCTTGGAGGGAATGAAACATGCTAAAAGTAAAGAATTAAATTGAGAGACTGATTTATGGGAGAATGCAGTACTTAGGTATGCATTCCAATCAGGGATAGGGAGAAAAAGCACTATATTCATTGCAGTTAACCAGTCAGGAATCCTTTATTAGGATACTAAATTGTACTACATCTTTTTAGGAGTTTAAATCTATATTGGGCACGGGACTCAAAGGAAAATAACTTTGGGTAATGCAGAGAAATTCCAGTCTTAAAAAAAATGATGAGGAACTTGATTAGCAACACTGGTCGGGGGGAAGGGGTTGCCCATATTTCATGTAAATATAGTATGCTATATATGAAGAATGGATTTATATACTCTTTCTCCAACCTTTGCAGCAGATGGAAAGGAAGGACAATCACAGAAAATTGGCTTCTTCCTTCCCAGCTGCATACATATACACACATATATACATACATACATACATACTATATAATATTATATATTACATTATATTACATTACATTATATTACAGCATGAAGCCCTACACTGATATACCACAAAATAGGTTTTAGAAGATTTCAGCAAAAAATGGAGTATATTTTCGAACAATTTGAAATAAACAAATTCATGTATCTCTGTGTGTGTACACACACGCAAACACACACTTAGGAGGTCATAATCTATACACTTATGTAAAATCAGAGAACTCATCTTACTTGTATATATACTTTAATAAAATGATACAATAAATAATTCAGTTTGTGTGATATTATTTGTTGAAAGCAGAACACTAAGAGGCATGTAGGAGAATCAAAAAAAGATTAAAGTTTATTCTCTAAATTCTAGACAAGACTAACCAACAATGCACATGAAGACATGTGAAGACAATAGCTTTTTAAAAATAAAATACTTCATTTGTAGCCTGGTTTTAGATTGCAATCCAATATGTGTGTCTGTGTATTAAGAAACAAACTTTATTGAATTTGATGTTTTCTTTCAAGTAAATGTCAACAAATTGGGAGCCTTAACCTACATGGTCACAAATCTGAGTGAATATTTAATATTCATATTTAAGACACCACATAATTTTCATTTGGTGAAAAAAATATGCTGGAATATTAAAGCAGTTCATCTTCCATATTATATGACCATGTAATGGAAGACACTGAAGAGCAATAGTGCACTCTGCTGGATTATATGTATGTTCTATATATTGCAAGTTCTTTGAAAAATGAACAGAGCTATTTTCACCTTTTACCAGGCATTTGTGCTAATTTCAGCTATACCTTCCACATAGAATATACTTCAATGCAATATTCATAAATAAACAATTTATATCTGTCACCCCTAAATCGCTTGATCCACACATATTCATTTAGATGACACAAATATTAATTTTAGGCAAATGTAGTTACATAAAACAAAGTCACAGATAATCTATCATACAATAGCACTGCTACACATTTGCAAACCTTTTCCAAATTTGCAAAATTGTTAGACTGGAGTATAGTTTTGGATGATCACAACAACATCCATTTAAAATCTTAACTCTCCAGGTCATAAGCACAGAAGCTTGAGTACTTTATATAAGACCTTATGTATCATGCGGTCAATCAATTGTCTTTGAAACTTGAGAGAAACATCCATTATCATGACAGACTAGCAAAAAACAGTGCTCCTGGTTTAAACATAACATTAATATTATTGATGATTCAACTCTAATTCAGAGGCTAATGTTTTTCTCAACTATCCAACTTTGTGGAATCCCATTCAATAATCATGTCTAGGCTTTAAGGTTATTAAATGCAAAGGAATTTGTTCAGTGAGAAGGTGAAATTTTTTGCAAGTCAACCAGACATGATAGTCTATATTTTTCACATTTCCACATCCAATGTAAATTTGAAGCACCTTTATACATTCTAAATAATTTTTGGGTTCATGTACCAATAGTGAGTTAACTGTCTCTAGCACAAGAATATTAGCTAAACTAACCCTTGTGCTGACATTCAGAAATGTCATCCTATGAGCAAGAGAATAGTGATAAATTGTCATTCCATTGGAGAACATTTAAAACGCATCTTATTCATTTTCCCCCTGACTAATATATAAGCTGAAAGGATTTTAGGTAAAACTATAAGGTATTTGGTGGCTATACTATACTATACTATACTATACTATACTATACTATACTATACTATACTATACTATACTATATTTTTTGCTTTTTAATTTTATATTATCTCTCTCTCTTCCCGCAACCTCCCTTTTTTCTTTCTTAGTAACAGTGCAGAAAAAGTTTACCATTGCCTTCATCCAGGATCTAAATTATACATATTTTAACTAATAAAAATTGCCACAGAATCAGGACAAAAAAGATCATACTAACCTCTAATCTCTTTTCAAGTGACTCAATCCTGTCCTTTTTACTGGCCAAATTGGCTCGTGTGTAGCGACTCTGCCCAGGAAGGAACAGTACCTGGCTGTAACATTCTTCCCACACCTGATTATAAGCTTCACTTGAAAGCTCTCCATGGCTCATTCCTTGCTTCACAACTTCCATCTCCTGGGACAGAAAGTCTTCAGCCTGTTTAGAATAAAAAAGTTGTAGTAAACCTTTTGCTGCACTTCATCTATGCTGAGATCAACTTCCTCACAGAGTGGGGGGAAATAGGAGACTGCCATGGCCATCACCTTGACCTCCTGAAAGAAATGGTAGGATTTAAATCTAATTAAGTATATACATACAAAGAAAGTTTATAGGGCCATTTTTGCTATATGAAGAACATTCCGGTAGTCCTCGACCTATGTCCACAATTGAGCCCAGAATTTGTTAAGTGACTTTTGCCCTGTTTTACAACTTTTCTCACATTGTTAAGTCAGTGCAGTTCTTAAATTAGTAATATGGTTGTTAAGTGACTCTGATTTCTCCATTGACTTTGGTTGTTCAAAGGTTGCAAAAGGTGATCACATGACTCATGGACACTGCAATCGTCATAAGTTGTCAAGCATCCTAATGTAAATCACATGACTGTGGGAATGCTGCAATGGTCATAAATGTGAAAAATGGTCATAAGTAACATTTTTCAGTGCTGTTGTAACTTCAGTCACTAAATGAATTGTTGTAAGTTGAACAGGCCAATTACATGGTGAATAAATTTAAAAATAAAATTCATTCCCCTTTCAAGTTTCCTGTCCTTAACATTTTGGAATCAATTTTCAGTGGTAACAGATCTAATCACTACTGAAAATTGATTTTATACAGTTCTATACATTTTGGCATCATAGATCAACATGAGCAGTGTCAGGATCTAGTTGGATGTACAAAAAGAACCAATGAGAGATGGTCCCACTGTATTCACATTATGGGATTATAAAGTCATGAAACTGACACCTGGATCTATTAGGCCTAACTGGGGTTCTGCTTAACATAGCTTAGATAAAAATCTGAAAGAATGTTTTAGAGAAAGACTTTATCTGAGATAACCAGAAAAATTGATCTGAGAAACTGAAATACAAGTTTTAATTTCCTTCTTCATTATTTTCCCCTCAAACCAGGCACTCAATTCCAGCACCAAATAGCCTTAAGTTGCTTATTTATAATGAGCCATATCAAATCTGTTGTATTAATAAAATGGTTAGAAAGACACTTGAAATATTAAGAAATCCAAATGACCAAGTGGCAACTTCTTAATATAAGCTAGGTATATAATGAATTTTTGGTACAAGTTCTAAACATTCTCAGAAAAATATTTTACATCAGAAATGTGGAATAGGACTAATTTAAACATTTTGCTCCAGTCCCTTAGTTCAATACATGTCCCAGGGAGAATAAGAAGGAGAAGTTGCAAAACGAGAAGACAACAGTTGGGGTTAAGTGAAATGTAGTTTCTGCTAATTCTGGCTACTTCATGCCATTCCTCTTTGGATAAGGTGCAGGAGAGATGAAAAAAGCTGGGAGTTCCAGCTGGGTTATGTGCAAGCATAATTTGATCAACTAGTACAAGCTCAAGTCCTCATATTTTAGAGAACATAAATATAGACCTATATAAAGGTGGTCCAACTGGAATTTTTTGATATTCCATTCCCCAATTTAGACAAAGTATGAGGTAGCTGAAACAAAAACTACATTGGGAGAAAGAGTTGGCATAGGGAAAGTTGAAGGTTTCTGAGGAGACAAACCTTTGCTCAAGACCCTGTGGATCAGATGTTTAGATGAATTAGACCTGCGAACTATAGGTTATCCATCCTAAATTTTGAGTATCTGGTAGTTGCTGAAGTACATTGCTGTACTAGAAAGCAGAATATCAGGAGAATCTTCACAGACTCACATACCTAACACCACAGTGTACCCTGATAACCTGCTAATCAACTGTTTGGTTGCAGCAGTAGATTAATAAATTGTCTTTTCTAGCACAGATGGTGAGGCCATACTTTTAAACACAAATATGCATATTCAGCCCTAAACTCATCCTGGTACCAAAACAATTGCTCAACCCCTTGTTTATATATGTTCTCAACTTGAAAGAATGAGGCAAACTTTTCTTGTGAAATACAGTTATGGTAAGCAGACAAAACAGGGACCAAAATGATACCAATAAATATTATGTGACCTTCTTCAGCTCTTCTTTTGAAAACTTTTCATACGGATTGTGTTCAAGATATGCTATATGTTCTGTGCTACTGCTTCCCAGTCCTGGAACTTTCGTCTTCTTGCTGCCGGGAACCTCCCCATAAGGATGATGCACAAGATCAAAGTGAAGCATAGTGATCATCTCTTTCTTAATCAGTTCTTCACTCTTCTGTAAATCGGTTAGAGGTGGCTCTACATTTAAAGGTCTCAGAATTGTTTCATTTACCTACAACAAAGCAATAAAAAATCATTCACATTGTCACTTAGGAGCAATCTCTTATAATCTAAATTCCACTTTTATTAGATTCATGTACTCTGCAACTGGAGCACAGATAGGAACATTTTAAGCTTACAAAAAATTAGAAATATTTTACTGTTTTTTTTTAATTAATCAATCAAAACTACAGCAATGGGTTTTCTGAAAGGGATGCTTTAAAAAGTAAGGATGATCCCAGTGCGACCTTTCTCCACCTCAGACCTCTGACTAACTCCTATATCACAGCTTTGCAAGATCTATTCTTTTACCTTCTTATGGAGATAGGTACATATTTATTAGAGTTAGGAATAACTTACTTCAGAAGGTCTTGGTAGATCTTTCTGAATAGCTTTGTGCATTCGCTTTAAAGCCTTTAGACGCTCCATTTCCCGAATGGTCTGGAAAAAGATTTCAACAATTAGGGTGAGTTTTTGCAAGACTTCTCAGCAACACAGAACACAGGGAAAAGCCAACAAAATCTGTTAGAGAAAACTGTCCTAAACCAAATATAGAGCAGAGAAATGTAGTGCTGCAAAGAATTTTTTTAAAAAAAGAAATCTCATTCCACAATACAAAATCATTCACAATTTTTTCCAGACTTTAAAAAAAAAATACCCTGTGTTTTTTTTCAATTCAAAGCAGCAAATATACTTCCTCCTTCTCCTATTTTCCCCAAACAACAACCCTGTGATGTGAGTTGGACTAAGAGAGTGTCCATGCTGATTTTTCATGCCTAAAGTAGGATTACGATTCTTAGCCTCCTGGTTTCTAGGCTAGCAAATAAAAGCTACCATATTATAGGAAATCTACATTGCCAAATCCAAATTACAACTGACAGGACCCAGAAGAAGAAACAACCTCACTACCCATACTGTCTGGGTTTATACACAATAGTTAGTAAAAGTCTCTGTATTGTCCTAATCCCAAAATTATGGTGCAGAAAGTCAATAACTGAACAGTTTCCCATTCTAAAATGAATATATCTCCAAGTACTGTCACATTTTTTTAACTGCCTTTCTGTGAGCCATCAATTTAGCAGTTGTTTTTCACTGATAATGAAGTAGTACATAGGTGGTTTACATAACTGTCTCCTAAATATTTATTGGTTTAGGAAGTGATCATTATCTTAGTCAATTACTTACCCATGATTTACTGGAAAATTTCCTGGGATTGTATAATACAGTGAGTCAAAGTCTAAACACAATTCATGTAGTGTGCAAGGTTAAGATGTAGTTAGGTATAAGCTTTCAAATAACGCCAGAGAGATGCCTGAACATAGGCCAAGACTCTTAATTTAAAAATTATCTTCAACCACAGGATAAGAACTCAAATGATCCATTTATACCTAACGACTGAAGAACTACAAATCTCAACCTGCGTGTTCTTTTAACACAATCAGAAGTCTGCTGGATCTTGCCTGTTGAATGCTTTTTGAAGGATCCTCTTCCTAATTCCATTCTTATGTTTCCATGCCCCAGGCAGAGATCTGATACTCTGAACTCTAATATTTTTAATTGTATTTTTTGCAATTTATCATTTTAACAGAGTTTGAACTTATTTATCGCTAGCTCTGTGAGAGAATATTCCTAAGAACAGCGGTTCTCAACCTGTGGGTCACGACCCCTTTGGGGTCACAGGGGTTGCCTAAGAGTCTTGAGTGTGGCTCTTCCACAACCCGCGCGCCCTGACCCCATGCTGGTGCCGGCTGGGAAGCTGTGGCTGCCGCCGGCAATGGAGCCATGACACTTGACCAGCGGAGGCTGCGGCGCTGCCAGGCGTTTCTGCTGGGTAAACTGCTCTCACTTTCGGGCACCTGCCTCTGCTACAGCCTGCTGCTCCTCTGTTGCGCCCCTCCCCCCAGAAACCCCCCACCGCTGCCCCTGCCCACAAGAAACTTCTGCAGACCTGGGCAGTGGGAGCAACCGGGCCAAGGCGGTGGTGGCCAAGCGGCTCCCGCACGAGCTGATTGTGGCCATCAAGAAGGGCGATACCTGAGCCGTGCTGGAGTTCATCTGTGGCCACCTGGGCGTGTGCGCCCTTGGCACCGAGCCCCACTTTTTCGACCAGTACTATGAGCGGGGCCTGGATTGGTACAGATGAGGCGGCTCAGTGGAGCTCGGCAACCGGCTGCCACGGAGAACGGGCAGGGGGAGAGCCGCCCAGCAGCCCCTGCCCATTGCGCCAGGTCGCCTGGCCGTGGCACTCTGCTTTCTGTTGGAGCCAGAGCGCTGCTCCACATCTTGGGCTCCCCCACGACCCGTCAGCTCACCCGGGTGCCTGTCCTGTGCACCCCATGCGCTTTCCCAGGTGCTCCTGCTCCCCCTCTATCCCGGGTTTCCCGGCTGAGACTTCCTTCCGGGTGACCCCCTTCTCCTCTTTCTCCTCTTGCAACCCACTGGCCAGCTGTGGTGGGGCCGGGAGGGTGGGCACACATGGGGAGACCACCCACAAGCGAGCACCAAAGCGCAGCAAAGTGGGGCAGCTGGCTGCTCGCTTAAGGAGGGTCTTAACAGGGCACAAAAGGATGTGGCTTCTCTCCTGCACTAAGGCTCCAGCCATGACCTTGCTCTGTCCTCCATGTCTTTGGCTGAGTGCGGAGGGCACAAACGTAAACCTGAAGTGCAGGAAGCGAAGGCTGCCTAATTGGCGAATGTGGTGCAAAGGGAGGTACAGGGCTGCTTTCTCCTGCACTAAGGCTCTGGCGTCCCTTCTCCTTTTCCCTCTCCTTCTCCTCTCATGTGAGGGGAGGGATGACACAGCAAGACCAGGTGATTGAGAGGGAGAGGGTCACCTGAAGGGAGGCCTCCACCATGGCTGGCGATTGTTCCTCAGCAGAGAGAGAGAGAGAGAGAAGGGGAGAGAGGGAGAAAGAGAAAGATGGGGAGAGGGGGGGAGAGACAGGAGGGAGGGAGAAAGAGATGGGGTGAGAGAGGGAGAGAAATGAGGGGGAGGAAGGGAGAGATAAAGAGATTAGGGAGTGAGAGAGAGGAATATATGGAGGGAGAAAGTGGGAGATGGGAGAGGGTGAAATGTGTGTGTGTGTGTATTTCCCATAGAAAAGAAAACAGCCACAAAACCTGGGAAGCCGTGGCCAGGGGGAGTCAAGTGACTCGGTGGGAGTGAGTAACATCAATTTGGCCATGCCCACTCAGGTTTTGTGGCTCCCGGTGTTTTGTTTTCTCTGGGAAACAGACCCAAGTGGCTCTTTGAGTGTTTAAGATTGCAGACCCCTGCCTAAGACCATTGGAAAACACTTATTTTCGATAGTCTTAGGAACCGAGACACTGGTTCCTATGGTTGGGGGTCACCATAACATGAGGAACTGTATTAAAGGGTCGCGGCATAGGGAAGGTTGAGAACCACTGCCTTAGAAGCAAGACATCTAATCCAAATAATCATTAATACCTGAGAAGATGTATTATAAGCATCCTTTTGTTCTATGATGACAAATTAATTGCTGCCAACTCCTCTTTTATATGTTTTACCTGTTTGCGAGCATCTGCATCAGCTGCATCTTCTATATATGTATCATCTGCATTATGATCCTCAAGCTCCTTCTCTGCATTTTCTGGTAGAACAATTTCAAAGTCGTTCTTTGGAGCAGGAAGACCCATCAATCCTAGACGCAAATTTTCACGGGATTCTCTTTCCTACAAAATGTTAAAAGAACTTAATAAAGGCAATATAAGAAAAAAATTGCTTTCCTAAAATCAAATATCTTTTTTTCTCTGGAAGAATGATTGAAATCATTTTCAGGTCTCAGGTAATCAAAAAATATGAAAGATTCACAATACAATACACTTCTTAATTAAACAAACCACATTTTATAATATTTCTTTTTTTGTTTCTTTTTTTCCTTGCTTTTATTTTTACAAGTAGGTAGCGAATATATATAATACTCTTTCCTCTCCTGTTTTCCCCACAACCACTCTGTGAGGTGGATTGGGCTGAGAGTGACTCGCCCAAAGTCACCCAGCTGGTTTTTATAATGTGGGACTTGAACTCATGGTCTCCCACTTTCTAGCTTGGTGCCTCAACCACCAGGGTAAGATTGTAACTGGGTGTGTTTGTTCAGTTTGTTCTCAAGTGCTAGTATTGCAAAGTTTAAAATATGTTTATTCTTTTTCAATCACAATTTCTTGCAATATTACTACCGTGTTTCCCCGAAAATATGACATATCCTGATAATAAGGCCATGCCACATTTTTTGGGTGGACAAAAATGTAAGCCCTCCCCCCAAAATAAGCCCCCTGGACAACCACCACCCCTCCGGCCAGGCAGAGCGCCGCTCACCAACCTAGCAGTATTCCGAAGGCGCCAAGCTGCAGGAACTAGGTGGGGGGCAACGGTTTGTGTTGCTTGGTGCCTTTGGGATACCGCTAGGTCGGTGAGTGGCACTATGCCCAGCTGGAGAGGGGGGTTGTTTCAAATAGGAATTATACTTCAAATACAGCAGTCCAAAGGTGTAAAAGAATTCTAAAAATTAAAATTAAGCTTTATTTATAGAAGAAAATCCTCAGTTGATGTTCCATTGTTCTGTTTTGGGAAACATTTTTTTAAAGTAGATGTGATTATAGAAAAAGCTTTCTAACTCTGCAATGTTCACTAGGAACCTATTACTTAATACAAGATTCTTGAATAATTTTGAAAAATATTTCAACATTGCTCTTTTATGGCTTTTATCTTCTAATTATTATATTATAGTGTTCAGAAATTCCTCATCATTTAATCACAAGCACAGTTTTTAAGCCAGCTCTCAAACTAACATGGATTTTATAAGAGTTAAAGTTCAACCAACAGGAAAGTTATCAAGCGATCCTCTAAGTTGCTAATAAACCTCAAATCCTTCCATGGACTCTGCCATTCTTTTTTCTCCCAAGAGATAGGAAAAACAGAATCACATTATATACTTTCCTCCAAATTTCTGATATAAAAGTACCTAAATAGCAAGGCTGGAGATGGAAGTGTTTTAACATTCCCAATGCTGTTTAGGTCATCAATGCAATTAACTCGTTAGGTAATTCATTCTCCCAATATCACTATTTTATTTTATATTTTA